ACAAAATACGAACATTGAAATTGATGAAGACTGTAGGTACATTATTATATTTATTATTATTATACATTATTTAAGTAAATCTGGAGGATTATTTCCGAAATAACCACAAAGTTAGTTCGTTTCATTTGAATGTTAAGTTAAGTTAATTTCAAGAAAATGCGTATCTGGTGCTTAGAAGAATTGTGCGTTTCATATTGGATACTGGTCCACCATTGCCCTGCTTGTCTTGGTCAAGCAGAAGGGATGGATCAAGTTATAGGAAATTGGTAATGCACGCTGCGCGGACAATAGCATACACCTAGAGCTTACTGTGAGTAAGAGTGTTTACGTATGGGTTACGGTTTATCCCCATAGCGTTACCAAAACCCAAGAGGGTAGGAATAACCACTTACAAAGGAATGATGACAGTTAATCCTCATAATCCTTATACATTATACATACACATCGTAAATTAACGATAATCACATTTGAAATGTTTAACTTCCGTACAGTTAAACGCAAACAGTATAATCTGTGGTACAGGTCAAGTATATTTGACATAAAAAAAAATAAAAACAAAACGTATATGAGTGTTATTTCTCAATTTTTATAAATCGTAAGGGTATATATAACGATTACTGATTACAGTCATTTACAAATTTCGTATTTTACATCATTTGTTATGCACTTTCATTGCTTAATTTTTAATTCAGTTCTTATCAAAAATTATAAATCTCGCTCCACTACGGTAAAAATGTATTCTACTTTTACTTTACTTAGGGAATGCAATACCGGGATCGCGGGATCCCGAAATACCGGGATCCCGCAGCATTTTTGCGGGATTAATCCCGCACATAAATGGAGCGGGATCCCCCGGGATTTGCGGGACTGAGGAATTTGTCGACCAAGGGGACGACTCTGTTTACTTTGTTAATGAAACGCATAACAGAGAAGTTATTTTTTAAATAATTGTTAAACTTTTTTCGTTAAAATGTACTATGATTTTTGAGGCACTTTAGAAGTTCACCTTTTTTGTGCTTTACAGATGAGGTTTTTTTGAGCTCTAAGTTAGGCTGAAGGTACTTTTTTGTTAAATATTGTGATAATTAGCGATTTATTTTAATACAGAAGTTAACCGCACAGAATTGCTTATTTGGCAATTTATTTAAACTTTTGCGGGATCCCGCAAATACCGGGATTGAGATTGTGCTGCGGAATTGCATTCCCTAACTTTACCTAAAGGAAAAGAGCTCTTTAGTGCCCGAGTAATTGTCCTCACTCCGTATAGTTGAGCAAGAACGGCGTAAAAGCGCAGTGTGATACTTTCAAATACGTACTACCGTCATTTTGGACGAAAACCTAAATTTAGCTCTCCTCGACAGCTTGGTGGCAGTGGTTGCATTAGGTCGAGGCATTTAGAGCATCCCCAAAAGTATCTTACACGCAACAGCCCTTTTGCGTAGTATTTCTTGTTGGAACAAATTGTATCACGCCATGATACAGCGAGCAATCAAAATTTATTTTATTGTTCAAACAAAAAGTACCCTTTTAAAATAAATTATTAACCTTGGATATAAAAAAAAAATAAATAAATGGCAGGAAAACAAGGAAAAAAATACGAATACGAACTCAAGCTCAGCAACAAAAGAAAATAATTAATGCTCACGTCCATAAATTAGGATCTGCTCTAATTTAATATGTTACACTATTAAATGATGCAAAAAAAACCATTAAAAGCTACTTCTTAGATCAATGCAATATATGACTATATTTTTTTTATGAAAAAAACTGTGGCTAACCTTGTAGTTGCTTTCGAGGCCTTTCGTTCCAATGCATTTTTGAGGGGTCCGTTAACTTGGCCCCCCCACTGAGAGATTTGATAGTCGTATTACTTTGAAATGAATGCGCTCGTTATGCGCTCATATGCGCCACCGATAGTAACTCTTGCGCCATTATCGTTTTTTAGAAATCCGAAAAAACATTTGGGGGGGCCAAGTGAACGTAGCCCCCCCAGTACGTATTTTGTCCCTTGTAACTAGGTCACCTGATACATTTGGTTATGCGCTCAATTGCGCCACTTGAATTAAAGCTAGCGCCATTACGGTTAAGCCGTGACAAATTTTCAAAAAGTGGGGGGGGCCAACTTAACGTCAAAATCTTGACAAAGTGCAAATCAAAAAAATTCTTAAAAGACACCTTATTAATAAAGCATATTATTCCACCACTGAATGTATTCACGATGGGTTTAGTAATCTCTAATTGTTAGTGATTTGTTTATTTATTTATTTGCTTGTTGTTAGTTGATATACGTTGTTTGTAATCTCTACTATATATTTTTAGACGAATGTAAGCGCTTTTGCGTAGTAGCATGAAAAATAAATATTATTATTATTATTATTATAACGTTTTTAAAAGTTACTTTTTTTTAACATCTTTTCATACGAAATTGTACTCTCAGGTATGCGCTGAAATGCGCCGTAAAAAGATATCTTTGCGCCATTATTGTTTTTTGGTTATCCTTAAATATATTTGGGGGGGGGCCAAGTGAACGGAATCCCCCATAACGCATTTTGCTACCTGTATTTGTGCCACTTGATACATCTGGTTATGAGCTCAATTGCGCCACTTGAGTTAAAGCTAGCGCCATTACGGTTAAGCCATAAAAAATTTTTAAACAGTGGAGGGTCTAACTTAGCGTTTTCAAATCCCAAGTCCCAAATATATTTAAGGATATCCAAAAAACAATAATGGCGCAAAGATATCTTTTTACGGCGCATTTCAGCGCATACCTGAGAGTACAATTTCGTATGAAAAGATGTAAAAAAAAAGTAACTTTTAAAAACGTTAAGTTGGCCCCCCCACTTTTTGAAAATTTGTCACGGCTTAACCGTAATGGCGCTAGCTTTAATTCAAGTGGCGCAATTGAGCGCATAACCAAATGTATCAGGTGACCTAGTTACAAGGGACAAAATACGTACTGGGGGGGGGGGCTACGTTCACTTGGCCCCCCCAAATGTTTTTTCGGATTTCTAAAAACGTAATGGCGCAAGAGTTATTATCGGTGGCGCATATGAGCGCATAACGAGCGCATTCATTTCAAAATAATACGACTATCAAATCTCTCAGTGGGGGGGGGGGGGGCAAGTTAACGGACCCATTTTTGAGGCTGAAGTGAAGTTCTGACGAATTACCAAGATGCTGGCTGTTAATTGGTTTAGAATGAAGACTAATTGCGAGACCCTACGCGTTTAAGAAAAGGTTTAAGGATAGGTTATTAGGAGTAGAATTGAATTTTTACTCCAAGCTAACGTGAATCTCGTTCTAACCCTTATGTGGTTCTATATTATTGTTTTGTTCTTTTTTTGTCTAGTGTACTAAAGTATATACTCGATGACCCATCACGCACGAGCCTTGGCTTATGTGATTGTTGCCAATTTTTCATTATATTCAATAAATATATATTACCTATGCTAAATAAATACAAATACAAAATTCGTTGCCAATGGCAACATACAATCGTCTAAAATGTAAAACTTTTGCCACGAAATACCTTGAGAAATGTCATATTTTATTGACGTTTGAAGAAAATAGTTATTTATGTATCAAGGGCATTAAGGCGATATTTACGCCGAGGGCGACAGAGCCCGAGGGCCTCTGGCCCGAGGGATTGTAAGTCGCCCGAGGGTTAAATATCGAGTAATGCCTGAGGTGCATACAAAATTTTATTTTTCATCGTTCCAAATAAGGCATTTCCAATATACAAATGTAATGATTATTGTTAGTGCCTCATACGAATCAAGTAGCATCTTTTTTATTACATAACTCCATCAATATATTTGACAGGCCGTTTGAGGGCATAATGAGAGGGCATAATGGATTGTCATCTCATTATGCCCTCTCATTATGCCCTCGGGGGTCATAGACTGCTTTATATGTCTCATATGACAGATATAATTGGCATATAATAGTCAAATGAAAAATAAATAGTATTATTAGCCTTTTTCTCAATTCTAGAATTTTTAGTGCAACTTTAAAGATCCTTATCTTGGAGTCTATTCAATCAAAGTAGATGATTTTTTTTAAATAAAAGTAAATGTTAGGTACTTTAATTTTTATAATAGTATAGCTACACTTTTGTGTCGGATTGACTGTTATAGCCCTAGAAGCAACGTTACTAAAAGAAAGTTCAAAAATGTCGAGGATTTTTGAGCCCCCTGAAGTTAGCACAAGGACATTTTGACGGGAAAATGGGACGTAGTAGTACAACTGAACGTCACTGAACAACATACCGAAGTTTTAGAAACTTATTATAGTGGTAGTACTATAGTAACACCAAATTGGTTCTTTTTTGCTTGGCATTTTAGAATTCTAAGTAGGTATTTCAAGGGGTTACCTACCAAAATTTGTATTTATGATGATTCTGTAATTTTTTGAAATACAACGGAATCGGCAACTTTCGCTGCATTATTTGCAGAACTAAAATGAAGATTCGTTGTGCATTGTGCAAGTTGCAAACCGATGGAAAAAACTAAGAATTCGAGTTGTTTCCACGCACGAAGACAATATGTTACATCGCAAAATGACCTACAACCTTACTAATTTTTTGTTTAAACACTGATTATTACAAAGGCGCCTCTATAAAAAAATTGAGTATTATACCAAATGGTTTACATAATTATTGAATTAGCTTAATGATCCACGAAATTCCTAAGACATATGGAAAATTAAAGAACCTTTTATGGTTTTACGAATAGGTACCGCTTCTTGGTGCCGTAGCCGGAAAATGGCGCATGTTGAGAATAGTTAGGGAAGGGCCCTAACGGCAATTCGATGAATTAGTGAGCGAGCGAATGACTAAGGAGACGATGCAAAGAGGTGGGTAATGATGCTAATTAGTCATAAGCTTTATCTTTAAAGAATTTACTTTTTCTACAGATCATACCAATATTTATAAATGACTTAACTATAAGTTTAATCTGTTTAACCCAATTTTAATCAACAATGACATCATATTTACTTGCTATAACTATAACGACATGGTAATATCAAACAGTGTCCACTAGGCGAGTGTCGAACTTACTGCAAAATTGTGCTAACCAAAAGATCGCGAGTATGCCTTCACACTTTGAGATGTGGAGTGTTGTGCTCTTTCTCTGTGCATCATACGCCATGGTGGTGCATTCCCTTACACTGGATCAAGGTAAGTCTACAATTTTTGGAAGAGTGCTTATACTAAACGTGCAAAGTGCACGTGGATTTTGGCGTTAAGTGCATTTAAAACCATGCATTAATTATTAATGGTTTAAATAAAATAATCAAACTGGACCTAATTTTGGAGATCGCTCTTCGGGTATTAAGCAATGCTACACATCAATTTGTTTATGAACTTTAATTAGAAGCTTAATTTTGATAATGCTTGTTAATAGACTAGTGATTGTGTAGTTGAAAAAGTGCTAACGTTTCAAAAAAGCAATTATTGCCAAGTAAAATGGTCGATATCTATTTTATGTGAAGGTACCGTGCATTTTCGATTTACCACTCATAATTGCTTCGACTGTAAAATCTCAGTTAATTGAATTTATTGATAAGTAAGAGACATTGTGGCCTTCAAAAGAAATTAAACTGGAGTTAGGAAGGACACGTGTTTAGACTTACTTTTAATTAAAGTCGTCTATGCAATCCCATAGACTATACTTTGGTATGTCAAACATTCTATAAAACGCGTGTGGGACTGCGTGCCCGCGGCGCTTTTAATAAATCAGTAATTATTGTTTGACATAAATTTCCTAAAGCTGATCGCTTAGATTGTTTTAATGTGTGTAAAGGTTAAAGAACACTTATATTTTTTTGTCTCATTGTTAATAGTTCGGATCAAAATATTACGCTCGCTTTCATTATCACAAAGGTGACTTGCGATAACTTAAAGTACCCCAATTAATTTTTTAAACTTAAACTAATTAATCAAAAGATGAGGCGTAAGTTTACCATTTTAATGAGTGAGGCTTGTTTTCTGAAGGACTCGTGATACAATTTGCCTTATATTGGAAACCTTCTGAGACTAATTAATAAAGGTTAATCGAATTTCGATAACCTTTCATACGATACATATTCAAAACTCCCAATTTCCTTGGTTAAAATTAAGAAAATTTATCAAATAGCATTTAAATCCAAGCACGCTTAAAACATGCAGACAGTAAGGGAGGGATTGTTTTGAATTTGTTATAAACAAACCTTGAACTGATTTCCTGTATTGGAGTAAAATATCATGGCAAAAAATACGTTCAAAGTTAAGTATTGGTTGGAGTAACAGGATTATGATGGGGCGGAATATAGCAAGAAGAACGTGGCAACCCTGGCAGGATCGGTATAAGAGACAAGTTGGGAACACCTACTTAAGTTACAGTGTTTCGTAGAATTTGAAATTAAAGTCGCACCCCACGGTGCCCTTAATACATTAAATGGAGTTGCTTACTGTCGAGGTTTAATAAACCGCGCAATTGAATAAATAAAGCAAAAAATCTTAAAGGGCAGGATGTAATAGAAGTGAGACGAATACGAACACGACTGGTCGGTACAGACAGCGTTTTACTCACTGAAAGTTCGTCCGTATATACCTAATCCCTGCGGTGATTCAATTGTCAAAGGTTTGGCCATTCGTCGATGAATTGTAAGCACGAAAAGAGGTGTATCAGTGGCAACCAACCACATGGTGTTATCCCGTTTGAAGTGCCCGTTGAGTGCCCAAATTGCCAAGAGTCGCATAGGGCCATTACTAAATTTTGCGCTGCGTTTCAAAAAGAAATGAAAATACAAGAATGAAAGTGTTACATAAATTATCATACCATGAAACTAAACAGCAGGTAGATTCAAAATATGCGCACTTCAACACTGACACCGGTGATACCTGTACCCTGAAATTAGAATGACTATTAAACAGGAAATGGAGGCCCTCGTAAAGTACTTCTCAACTGCCAAATTCGTTCATACCTCTCCGAATGGAAACGAGCTGTCGTACTCCTTACACTGAAACCAAAAAAAGATTCATTACTAATCAGTAAACATTACCGTCCCGCTAGTCTCACATCATTTTTGGGGAAGATGTTGGAAAAGCTAATAAATGCACGACTCCAGTTTGAGCGGAGCGCAACAACATACTGGTTTAATATCAGGTGGGATTTCGGTAAGGGCGGTCCACAGTTGACCACTTGGTCTAACTCACCGATATAGCCCTAAAGGCCTTTGATGAGAGAGCGATCTTTTATGACATCAAAGGAGCGTATGACACAGAGCTCCACACTGAGGAAGTCGATATAATCTTACGATTTGTTACGGAGATGAAACGGTCGGAGAAAGTATGTGGGAGGTAGCTATAAAGCATAAATTCACGCAGGTGCCAGTGGGCAGTGCTATAGGGTATGCTCTTGGAGGAAAAGACAAATTGTGTTAATTCTATCAACTACTATAATCCCGTGTTGTTCACGAATGCGCAAATAATCAACGTGTCTGGGGAGATAGCGAGTTAAGATGGACCAAGCCTAGGACCAAGCACTGGAAAGTTTTGTTGTATCACTCAACGTTCACCACAAATGGGAAGCCCACCATAAGACGCTACTTGATATATATAGAGCCTGCAGCGATACAATGTCAGTTGAATTAAACAAGGTCCAAAACTTGGTTATCAGGTATTCCCTTGGCGCTCTTATAACAACTCCGACCCCTTACATGTCGAGGCTGGTATCCTCCCTCTCGCTCTGCCTCAATAGCGAATGGTTGGCAACTATACTACCTTAAGGCTACGTTAGATAATACTAATTCGAACTATGACATGCCTATAAATAGGAGTGGAGGGGAAAAATTACAAAGGTGTGGATCGCTAGGGGACTGAGCGAAGGCATGTTTTGGAGAAATCCACCTTAATGTCCAAAAAGTCGGGTATGGAAACGATAGCAGCCACAGTGGACGGAAACAAATAGTATGCTAAAAAAGGTTAAGCCCTACTTAACGTTAACGTTATTTAAAATTGATGCAGAACGTAGTACTATATTTGAAGTTTACATACTCCGCCTGAGACATAGCTACTGCTTTCAGCCATAGTCTTCTTCTAGTAGGTGAAGTACCACCTCAATGTGAAACCTCTCGAGTGCAAGTATCTCTGGAACTCTGGAACATACTATGTACATTTGACATTAAGGTGATATGGGAAGAAATTTGAAGTCCGCGAATAAAAACTACTAGAATACTAATACTTACCTGCAAAAGACTAATGGGCGCAGCAAGCCCTAGGTGAGGTCTTAGTGGGTATAGCCGTCGTAGGGGAACCCCACACTATTTCGGACCTTCTTCCGGAGTGTGCACCCTACCTGGAAAACATCATGCACCATAATTGATTAAAGAAAAATTTGGAAAAATTCCATCTTATAGCCTTACAGCAGTAATCAATACAATAAATAATATTCATGTGATAACACTAGGTACCAATAGTAATATAACTAAAATTATAAGTTTAGATTGTGACACCATTCCTTTGTAACGGTTAATATACACTATATACAGTGAATCTCGGAACCAAAAACATCACAAGATCTGCTTATAGTATTAAAATTATAACACATTCTGGAAGACTTGTGTAATATGTCCTATCATCACTGACAGATGGACCTTAATCAAAAGTTCTATATGAAAAAAAAAGAAGAAGAATCGAGGCACAAAAAAATAAAAACAAATAAACACTTTTTTGAGTCTCGATTCTTCTTCTTTTTTACTTCACACTCAAAACAAAATTGAGGTCTTCGTCGAAAAAATTCCATATGAAAATTACAATTTTATGGCAAAATACGATTTGGGGTAAAATTTAATACAAAACCCCAGTAAAATGACACTACTTGACTCGCCAGTAATGTGCCATTTTCCTGGCTTTTATCATTGACTAATACCCCCCGTCAATGGTTTTATCATTGACTAATACCCGGTATTAGTCAATGCTTTTATCAAAGAGTATTTGCTTTTATGTAAATAACTATGTCCTGGGAGTGTTGAAACTGAATGTGTGTTTCTGGATACATACACCGTTCTCGCATCTTGATAATTTACGAGTACTTACCTTTACCTATGTATAATATACTTTCCTGTAACGTTCTACTGTGTGTTTTTATTGATCTAGCAGGCGCTGGATGGACTTGAATAGGCAAAATCCGAGAACCGCATTCTGCCAATTGATTCAAGTTCAGAAAAGCAGTAGATTAGTAGTAGTAGTAGTAGATTAAGAATTCGGATGTTGCTAGAAGCCCTATTGGGCCAATTTTGTTTTATACCTCCTCCTCCTCCACGGCGCGTAGGTCGATTGAGTGCATGTTATATCTATTTTGATGATTATTTTAGTGATGTATTATTAGTTTTTTTTTTAAATAATTAGACATAATTTACAATTGGGAAATGAAATTAAAACAGAAATTATTAACAAAGAATTCATAGATTGCTAGTAAAAAATTATAACATTGAAATACCAATATTGTCACCGTTGACACACCCGTTAAATTTTATATCTACAGTTTTTCGCATTTTTTTAATACTTATGGTACTCTTTTGGGATTTGATTTTGAATTTTACCCATTGGATAGACTGCTTGTATGTATTATATTGAACATTACATAATATATAATAGAGGAAAATAACAACAAAGGGGAATGGATTTATGACCATTATACTGAACAATTGGTAGTCTCTCATGCATCTCGTCTCCGAATCGATTCCCAGCCATCTTTTTCAAACACAAAATATCCGCAAAAACGAGCGCCCTTTGTGACCCATACGCTAACGAAGGTACCCTCCAAAGACACACTTGAAAGAGTCTAGTGCATGGTTACATTCGTTACCATCAACTACCATTGGCACAAAAATGATTAATTCAACTTTCCGAATATGTGTTGCATTAAGAATAGGCTGTAATATATTTGAAAAACATCAAATGTTCCCATTGTGAAGAAAGAGTGATTGAAAAAGGGGCTTAGCTGCAGAGTGAACAACAAAAGTCGAATGTCACGACACACAGAGTTAAACCAAATAATTCACAGGGCACTTATGTACTTCCATCAACCTAGCATCGACTTTGGAACCGGTTGGACTGTACCGTTCTGATACCGTTAGAGCATATAATATAATATGCAAAAGGCCACTCTCTTGAATGGGACTGTACATGCGTTG